TCACACAGTCACACACTCACACATCCCATACACGTGTCACACACATGTCCTTTAATATGGCTCATCTGGGGTCCACTTGGCTTCTAGATCTCTCTGTGCATGAGTGAAATCACTTTTCAGATCGTCCCCAGCAGGACACACCAGGGACACCGCACGTGGAACTAACCAGTCTGCAGGACGGTGAGCTGGGAGCCCCTCGCCCATCCCACCTGCGGCTGGGAGGCCCCAGCCCACCGCCCTCGGGCACTAGCTGTCTAGCTGGGATCCAGCCTGGCCACCCGGGGTGAGAGGGTGAGGCTCTCCAGAGGCAGACTCCCCTGGAGGCAAGGCTTGGGGCCCAGACCCAGGGGGTGGTGAGTGTCTGGAAGGGACACCAAGAAGAGTGGGGGCTCTTGCTCAGGGCCAGGAAGGATGAGGGTGGGCGGGAGGTCTGGGGTCACAGGCACAGGGCAGCTTGGGCAAGCCCAGCGCGTGGAGAAGCACTCGGCCTGTCCATGGCAGTGGGACAGTGGCCCGACTGAACTCAAGCAGGTGGGGCGGGGAGGGAGACTAAGGACGCACAGTCGTAGCACCTGCCACCGGCAAGCACACTGCACACGCATCACAAACTCGCGCAGGCACAGCGGGTGCTCCCACCCCGGGGCATCCCGAAGCCCCCAGATTGAGCCACCCGCTGCGCAGGCCCCAGGGGCCGAAGGAAGTGAGGCGCCGGTGCGAGGGCCCCCCTCCCTCCGCAAGCAGTGGCCCCTGGGGGCTGTCCTGGCGCTGCCGCTCCGCCAGGCAAGGGTTAAGAAGGGGCGGACCCCCCGCCCAGACGGGCACCCTTTCCAGCCAATGGCGGGCGCGGCGGCCCGGCCCTGGGAGGGAGGAGGCGGCGGTGGGCTGGTGCCCGTGGCTGGCCGGCGGGAGTGGGCTGACCTGTGCTCAGCCAAGGAAGGAATTTCGGGGGAGTTGAGCCAAGCAGGGAGCCGAGCTCTCCCTCGAGGGAGAGGAGGGGCTCAGCAGCTTGCGACCCGGCAAGGCCTTTCTCAGCTCACAGCCTCAGTTTCTCCATCTGCACAGCAGGGAGGAATAGGTGCTTGCCTGCCGGGGCAGAGCTCAGGTTGAGGGACAGGGGTCAGTTCCAGGGGACCCAGGGCAGGTGCGCCAGTGAGCTCTGGCTGGCCAGAGTGGACCAGTCTCTGGCTGAGTCCCTGCTTCCCCCGGGATCCTGTCCCCTAGCCTGGAGCCAGGCCCTCTGGTGGCCTCCAGGCCAGCTGCCTTGAGCTGCTCCTCCTCGTGTTTCTGTCCCCTGCAGCTGCTCTAGTCTTGACAGTGCGCGAGTGTGCGTGGCTAGGGGTGTGCCTTGGCAGGTGACTCACCCCCTGAGTGCACCCATTCTCAAAGGGGAATGAGAATTCCTGCCTCACAGCTGGTAATGAGGACCAGGAGGACGGGTGTCGGCCAGCCGGCACCGAGCCCTGCTGGCATGTGTTGACGCTAGGGTTGGTGGCGGTGACAGTGATGCTGATGACCACGCTGTCCTGCCTCCCAGGCACCTGCAGGGGAAAGACCACAAACCTTAGCAGTTACAAACACAAGGCCCAGACAAGGCCTTCTCCAGGAAGTGCTCTCTACCAGGAATGACCTCTCCTGCCCTGCTCCCCTTCCAGGACTGATTGCTGGGAACCCCTGTCCCACGGGCCCGGCACAAAGGAGGTGCCCAGGGAATGTGGGTGGGTAAATACATGTGGATCTCCAAAGAAGTCTGGCTCTAGAAATCTTGCAGACCAAGCAAGAAGAGGGGAAGGAGAGGGCCTCTTTGCCAGTGAGGGCAGCAGGCTCCAGGGAGGGAGCAGGGTTCTGAATGAGGGGTCCACAGGCAGGAGGGGGCTGTGCCCAAAGGGGTGACCTGCCCCAGAATCTCAACGGGACAGTCCCACAAAGCCCCTGGCCCTGAGGGAGCCGGGCAAGTGCCTGTCCTCTGAGGTGAGACGGAGAGCCACAGGCCCGGGAAGCCTGGGGCACAGGGTTCTGGGTGTGCAGGGGTGGACAGCAACTCTCGGTGGGACCCCTGCCACCCTCGTCCACCCTCTCTCCGGGCTTTTGCCAGGTGGGTGTGCCAGTGGAGAGCTGTCAGGAGGAATCCAGATCGCCAGGCCTGGAAATGGCGGGAAACTGCTCCTGGGAGGCCCATCCCACCAACAGGAACAAGGCAAGTGCCACCAGGCAGACGCCCTGGTCTGCCCCGAGGGTTGTGGGTGGAAGGAGCAGACCCAGCCCAGCACCTCCTCCCCCAGCCCCTGCCCAGGCCCTTCCCTCCAGCTCTGGACTTAAGGTGGGCAGTGGGCCCCTCTCGCTGTGTGGCCTGGCACTGGTTACCTGGTCCCTTACACCTCGAGTGTCCTCATCAGTGAGACAAGCATGGACAGGCACTGGACACCCTTGAAGTCCCTTGCCGTGCTGACCCTGTGGTCATCTTTACCAGCCTTGCAAGGTCTCATCTCGTCTTCCCTGCAAAAGTGGGGCGGTCAACTACGTACTGTGGCCAGGCCCTGCCAGGAAGCCCCGGGATGCCCGGGGGGCCCAGACATGGTGAGCTCCATGGAGCCTGCCTGCTCTGGGCCACCTGCCAGTGTCACCCTGGCCAGGACCCGTCAGTTACAGGTTTACCTCCCTCTCCAGGCTCCAGCCCTGACACTCTGGCAACCCTTCCAGCCGACCTACCTCCTTCCACCCTCCCCTACTCAGTCCCCTGCTTCTCTGACCTCCTGGAGAAATCTGGAATTTCCTTCTGAATTCCAGGCAGAGCACTCTCAAATTGGAACGCTTCCTTGGATTTCCAAGTCCCACTTCTACATTTGAGGAGACTGAGCTTACACCAGGGTAGTAACTTGCCTGGGGTGAACCCATAGGTCAGGGGTAGAGCCCCTAGGACCCGCCACCCCACCCTCGGGCTCTCCCCTCGTCCCCACAGTGACCGCTGTGGCATGGCAGCCACAGGAGGCAGAGATAGGACTGGCTGTGGGGAGGCTCCAGAAATCCCCAGGGCAAAGGCAGAGCTCAGGGAGGGGCCAGGCTCCAGAGCAGGCGCTTTACAAGGCGGGATGGGGCTGGGAATGGCAGCTCCATGCCAGTGACTCACCCGGCCTCCGCCTCTGACTCCAAGAAAGGGATTGCGGACTTTTTCCAGTGTGCGAGAGGCATGGGGTGATCTGACCCCACTCCGTCCAGCCCGGTTCCCTCCCAGTGTCTGAGCTGGTCCTTCTCCGGCCTGTCTTGGCTCCGGGTCTTAGCAATTACAGGGTCTGGTTCCCCAGGTGGGAGGAGTGCCCGGGGCCTGGAGTGACCAAGTTGCCCACAGGAAAGGAAAGCCAAGCGCGAGCCAAGCAGTGGGCCAGGGTGGACGGCGGCGACGCTGAGCCAGTAGCGCATTTAGAGGACGGCAGGCAGCAAGGAGGACCACCTTAGAGTGCTTGCCCTGACCTCACCAGGTCGCCCTGAAGTTTTGCCAACACCTCCAGTCCTTGTTTGCAGAACGCCCTTGACCGGAGCCAGGCCAGAAGGTCCCTCCCTTTGCTATGCGGCGCGAAGCCCAGAGAGCAGGCTCAGGACCACAGCCTTCTGCCAGAGCTGGGGCCATCTGGAGAGTGGCAGAACTTGCCGGAGAGCCATGAGCAATGGGAAGGGACCCCAGCGTCAGGGAGCGAGTGCGGGTGGACCAGGAGTCTGCCAGGGTGTGGGAAGGGCAGTGAGACAGCTCTGGGCAGGCAGCCTTCGCCTCTGGGGACGAGAGGCCAAAAAATGCCACCTGAGAACTGACTCCAGCTTGTAGATGGGCTGTGTTTGGCCCGCACAGTGTTTTTTAAATGTTAACATTTGAGGATCAGGATATTTCACATTACAATCCAGAGTTCTGGCTTCTCCACGGAGAGGGAGTAAGTTCAGCCTCCCGGGGCCCAGCGGCTGGAGCAGAGCGGGCTGCCCATTTTGCCCAAGACGGGTGCTGTCCGGTCTGCCACCGTGCCTGGCCCTCACTGGCTCCTCACACCTGGCCCTCCTTCCTGCATGTACGAGCCGGCCTGGCCCCTGGGGCGGCCCTGCTATTCAGCTGGGAGGCACTCTTCCAGCCGGAGCAATCGTTAAAGTATCGAACTGCTTCCTACAGCTTGACAAATAGCCGCTGCCTCCCCTCCCCAGGGACCCCCCGAACTCTCCTACAATCCAGAAACCCACGGCGACACTGGCCCAGCTGGGAGCCACCTCTGAGCCCACTATGGGACAGGATCCTGCTCAATCTGTAGCCAGGACCTACTCTTTTTTTTTTTTTTAACTTACAAGTTATTTATATATGAATTTATTTATTTATTTGAGACTGGGTCTCTCTCTGTCACCCAGGCTGGAGGGCAGTGGTGTGATCATAGCTCACTGCAGCCTTGAACTTCTGGGCTCAAGCGATCCTCCTGCTTCAGTCTCCTGAGTAGCTGGGACTACAGATGCCTATCACCACACCCAGCTAATTTTTAAAAATTTTTTGGAGAGACGGGGTCTTGCTGTGTTGCCCAGGCTGGTCTCCAGCTCCTGGGTTCAAGTGATCCTCCCACCTTGGCCTCCCAAAGTGTTGGGATTACAGGCGTGAGCCACTGCTTCCGGCCTATTCTCCTTAAATCTCGAAAAGTTCCTCAGGTTTTTTTGTCTTGCATGGCATGAACATTTCTGGACAGAGTCTGCTCCGACGGGTGGGCAGCCCGGAGCCCTTCCCCGCGAGTGACTGCCGCTACCCTCACTTGCGGGCCTGCCACACCGTGCTGCCAGCTCTCGACTCGGGGACACGGAGAGTAGCAACATGTGGGGCCAAGGGTGTTTTTTGCTTGAGTTGCAGCCAGTTAGTTGTTCCACAGTCAGTGACGCTGCAGACTCCCTCTAAGTCTCTAGTCAGGACCACCACGCCGGGCCCCAGGTGCGGGTCTCCGAGGGGGGTCCTGCCGGCATCACCCCGTGTCTCCCTCTGCACCGCACAGATGTGTCCCGGCGTGAGCGAGGCCCCAGAACTCTACAGCCGAGGCTTCCTGACCATCGAGCAGATCACGATGCTGCCGCCCCCAGCCGTCATGAACTACATCTTCCTGCTCCTGTGCCTGTGCGGCCTGGTGGGCAACGGGCTGGTCCTCTGGTTTTTTGGCTTCTCCATCAAGAGGAACCCCTTCTCCATCTACTTCCTGCACCTGGCCAGTGCCGACGTCGGCTACCTCTTTAGCAAGGCCGTGTTCTCCATCCTGAACACGGGGGGCTTCCTGGGCGCGTTCGCCGACTACACCCGCAGCGTGACCCGGATCCTGGGGCTCTGCATGTTTGTCACCGGCGTGAGCCTGCTGCCAGCCATCAGCACAGAGCGCTGCGTGTCTGTCATCTTTCCTGCCTGGTACTGGCGCCGGCGGCCCAAGCGCCTGTCTGCTGTGGTGTGCGCCCTGCTCTGGATCCTGTCCCTCCTGGTCACCAGCATACACAACTACTTCTGCGTGTTCCTGGGCCGCGAGGCCTCCCGGCCGGCCTGCAGGCACATGGACATCTTCCTGGGCATCCTCCTCTTCCTCCTCTTCTGCCCACTCATGGTGCTGCCCTGCCTGGCTCTCATCGTGCACGTGGAGTGCCGGGCCCGGCGGCGCCAGCGGTCCGCCAAGCTCAACCACGTCATCCTGGCCATGGTCTCCGTCTTCCTCGTGTCCTCCATCTACCTAGGGATCGACTGGTTCCTCTTCTGGGTCTTCCAGATCCCAGCCCCCTTCCCCGAGTATGTCACCGACCTGTGCATCTGCATCAACAGCAGCGCCAAGCCCGTCGTCTACTTCCTGGCCGGGAGGGACAAGTCGCAGCGGCTGTGGGAGCCACTCAGGGTGGTCTTCCAGCGGGCCCTGCGGGACGGTGCTGAGCTGGGAGAGGCCGGGGGTGGCACGCCCAACACGGTCACCATGGAGATGCAGTGTCCCCCTGGGAACGCCTCCTGAGAGGCCAGCGCCTGGGCTGGAGGCTCCCAGGGTGGCCGAAGGACTGAGCAGCCACCTGCAAACACACCCTGTGGCCCCTGCCTGGCTCTCCCAGCCATTCTGCTCCTAAAATGACCCAACTTCCTTGGGGGGAAGTTGCCCCAAGTGGAGGGGCCCCTCCCTGCCCTGGGCCAGTCAGTAAAGGAGAGGAGGTAGTCACCCTGCCCCATCCAGCCTGCCCCTTTGGTCAACCCTCCTTGAACGTGACCCAGCCAGCACCACCCGGCCAGCAGCCTCTCTCCCGATTCCATCCTGCTGAGGCAACATCAGGGAGCAACCTGAACGAGACGGCTCTGTCTGCAAGAGAGCCTTTGTAGCTAAGTCTTTCTGCAAACAACGTCCCTGCCCCTTTGATGAATCATTTGGTGACTTTATAATGGAATTTCTGGGCCCTGCGAGCCACTGGAGACAGAAGGGACCTTTAGCCACCTTGGGTAGGCGACTGCCTTTTCCGACTCTGTGCCGGGCCAGCCCTGGGCAGCCTCCTGAAGCCCTCGATGTGTCCCCGAGGCCACTGCAGACCGTCTGGACAGCTCCTGGACAGTCTCTTGGCTCTAGCGCCCCCAAAAGTGGGGTTCTGCCCTGGCCACCCAGAGACGGGCACCGCGGCCTCATGTAGCCAAAGGAAGTTTTATAAAAGACAATAAAATGTATATCAATAAACATCTTATAACTTGCAGCGAGGAAGGCTCAGTGCCCACTGTCCTGTCTGGGGTCTTAGTTTCCCACAGCAAGGGTGCCGCAGGGCACTGGGTCCCAGGACGGGCAGTGCCTACCAACAGCTCTCCTGTGCACTCCGCTCCTCATCTCCGGCTCCTGGGCCGCCTCCTCTGGCTAGTCTGTCCACCCCATGGTGTGCTCCGTCTCCTGATGGCTTGTCCACTCCTCTGCCAGAGAGCAGAGGTCAGCGAGGCTGTCCTCTGCCAGCTTCTGCCAATGGCCTTTCCCACCCACCAGGGCCCCCACGGCCCCTGGGAACTAGTCTCCCCTACTCTGTGCCAGCTGCTGGTGGCCCACACGGCACCTGGCATTCTACCCACAACCTGGGGCCTGCTCGGCCTTGCCCTGGGTGGGCTGACGCCCCAGTCTGTGTCCCTGATGGTCCACTGCCCAGCCAACCTAACTTGCCCTCCCATTCACTCCAAGCCACTGCTCCTCTGAGCTCTTCTTCCTAAGAGTCCCAGGTGGTCTTCCCAGTGAGGTCACTGTCCTACAGAAAAAGGAGACCTTGTGTGGCTTGGAGGCGATGGTCCCAGGACCTCCAGAGGATGAAGGTCGAGTGTGGCCGCGGCCCCTCCCAGTGCCTGGAGTGAGCCCCACCATCCTCCTACCTGCCCCTCCCCGGTGCTGGTCTGAGAATTCCAGAAGAGCAGAGCTGAAGACCATCGCACCTGAAAGCTCATTTCTGGGGACTCAGAGAGGCCAGGAGGGGTTCTGGGGACAGACGTGAGGGGCGGGGCTGGGACCCTGTCGGTAGCAAAAGCTTCCACCAGCACCAGCACTGACTGCACAAGCTCAGCCTCCATGTGGCTGGAAACACCTCCCAGTCCTGCAAGTGGCCGGGGGGGGGGGCCCTCCGGGCTCCTGGCTCCTTAGGAGCCCTGACCCCAGGCCTCCAGCCCTGAGCACCCTGTGAGGAGCTGTTCCCCCAAAAGGAAGGGGCCCCCCTGCCTGGGTCCAGCTACCGCGGCTCAGAACCCAGGGCCTGGAGGTCAGGAGCAGGCTGGGTGTGACTCCAGGAAGAGGCATCTGCCCTTGGGGATACTGAGGCAGAGGGGTGGGGTTGAGCTCCAGGGACGGGGCCTCTCCCAGCCTCCGGACCCTTCTCATGCGTGGATCACTCCAGTCAAGCCAAGGAGCGAGCCTTCCTCCCCTCCACGCCCCTGCCAGCCCCCAGGAGGACCCCCACACCTCCTGGGCCACCTCGCAGTCTGTGCTGATGGGTGGGGGGGTGGGGGGGAGGCAGCAGAGAACGAAATGCGCGGAAGCCACAGGCTTGACCACATGCCCTCACCCCGTAGTTCATTCTTGAAGGGGGCTGGGGAGGACCCGGGGGCTGCGGGTGCAGGCACCCACCCTCCACGGCAGCACGGCTGGTTCTCCAGCGGCGCCCAAGCCTCCTTCCTTCTGGGTGCCGGTGAAGGCAGGACGCCGGGGGGCGGGGGGGCCTGTCAGATTTCCCTCCCGCAGCTCCGGCCCAGGGATGCGCAGCAGGTAGCGGGACGGAGAGTCGAGAGTGGGGACTGTCCTTCCTATTAAGGAGTTTCTGGCTGCTCCGGTTACTGCTAAGCCCACTTGCCAGCACCACATGGCATGCAGGGGAGGGGGCGAAGGGCTGGGGGCCACGGGCCAGGGGTGCCACGGGGCAGGGCGGACCTCTACGCGTTTTTGTACTTCCTGCCACCCACTACCTCTACAAAAATAAGCAAGTGGAGACACACGCTCTCTTAGATTATACAAGGGATAAACAAGGCCAAATTTGGAAAGTCAAGAGTGAGCCCCGGGGAGGCAGAAGGGCCGCCACCTAAGCCTCGGTCTTGCTGTGCCTCAGTTGCCTTGGTTTCCTCGGCTACGACAGCACAGACCTCACAGAGTTGGCGTAAACACCTGGGGCAGCAGCTGGCGTGCCTGAGTGCCCTGGTCAGGTGTCCGGGGCAGGGAGCAGGGTGGCCACTGCAGGAGGGACATGCCCGTGAGCGGCCAGAACCAGGCAGAGACTGCCATCTGCCGGGCACCCACCCCGTGCGGTGGCTCTGGGCTAGGAGTCTCACATAAGTGTCCCGTTCACTCTCCGGATGGGGCTGCGTGGTGCACACGGTAAGCACCAAGTGTGGAAGCTGGGGCTCGCGAGCGGCGTTTCCCGTCCAAGGTCAGTCACACTGGTGGACAGGCCCAGCTGGAGCCCACGTCCCCACGCAAAGGCCCCCACAGACACCATCTTGTTGCCCCGAGCTCAGGCCTCTGACCTTTGCAGCCCCGTCCGCAAAGCGCTGGGAGTCGGGATCCCGGGGAGGCTTATCACGTGGATGGGACATGCCCGTCACAGCCCCAGGACAACCCCGGACAGGCCTCGTTGGTTTCCACAGTCTAGCAAAACCAGAGGAGGACACAGTCCCACACAAAGTGGGACTGGGAACGAGGCGCTCAGCGGACAGCGCAGCAAACGGCCTGAAAGCGACGCCTCTCCTGGCTCCATGTTCGTGTTTGCAAAAGGAAATGGAATGCCTCCCTGGCCTCGGCCCAGCCTGCCTGGGTCCCCTGCCAGCCACAGTTTCCAGATAAGTTGGGTTTTATGTTTTATGCCAGCAGTTTGAAGCCCAAGATCTTTTCACATCTGCACGACTTGGTTCCGAATCCTCGGCCAGGACGATTCCTCCTTCCCAGGAACCATGGGCTCCTCCAGAGAGTGGCGTGCAGAGGGGGGTCCCTTTATGGGAGAAGGCCAGGCCCAGGGACATGTGCCTTCGACACGTTGGTGACAAGGCCAGGAAGCCGGGCAAACATATTGCCGAGATCCTCCCAAATCAAAGCCACCTAGAGCACAGTGCCAAGATACTACATTTTAAGCCAGTACGGGCTCGAACGTTGGAGAACTTGAAAACAACGGGGCACAGTTTACAAAAGCAAAACTCACAGAAACTCTGCTTGGATGAGTCAGGGTGCCAGCACAAAGTTTCCTGGCTAGTCCAGAGAAGGCTCACCTACTCAGGCGGATTTTTTTTTTTAAGTCTTTGTAAATAACTCAATTGAGACCTAACTTAAATACAATAAAATGCACCCATTCAATATATAGTTCGATGACCTTTGACAAGTGTTTATGTGCCCATGTCATCACCAAATCGATGTGTGGAATTTTTCCGTCCCAAGAAGAACATGCTCATCATCCCCCAGAAAGGTTTCCCAGCACCACCAGGCACTGACCTCTCATCTCCGCTTTGTGCCACTGCAGAGCAGTGTCCGAGGCAGATTTTTACACCATATCAGCCAGGACCCTTGGTAGCAAGTAACAGAAACCCTGGTTTAATCTGGCTTGGGGGCCAGGGGAGGGCCTATGTGTGTTTAAGGGAATTTTCTGACTCATCGGAAAGTTCCAGAAGTGATACTGGCTTCAGATGCAGCTGGATCCAGGGCCTCGAATGATGTTCTCTAGGCCACATCCCTTTTCCTATTTCCACCTCTGCTCTGGGCTGTGTCACAGGTGTTGTCACCGAATAAAGTAAATGGCAGGTAACCAGCAGTCCCCAGGTTATTCTACAAATTCAGCAATTCCAGCAGAAAGAGACCATCCCTCTCCTGGCAATGCCAACCACAGTCCTGATACCGCGCTCGCTGGCCCGGCCTGGGAGACACGGCCTCCCCTGGAGCTGGAGGCAGGGCCTAGGGAGAGAGGTGGCAGCAGTCCCACCTGGCCCCGCTGGTGTGAATCAGGGTGTGCCGGCCGGCAGGCAGACGAAGGAGCTGCCACGTCCCTCCCGTCCGTCCACACTCCCACTTCTCTCCCTCGTATGATTTTTAACTGCTCCCACCTGAAATCTGTAGCTGTGTTATTCACAACAGGAAATGACCCCTCGTCCCCCAAAGAGATGACAAGCGCGACCGCAGGGTCGGCCTCCCCGGCACCGAGCCGGGCTCTGTGGCTGCTCACGCCTCCCTCCCGCGGGGCCGCAGGTACATACCTCCTCTTCGGTCAGGACTCGCATTGCTGTCAGATGGCTGCTGGGTGGCTCCAACGACAGAAATTTATTTCCTTGCAGTTCTGGAGTCCAGAAGTCCAAAATCAAGGTGTGAGCGGAGTTGGTTTCATTCTGAGCCCTGTGTCCTTGACTTGTGGAGGGCCGTCTTCTTCCTGTGTCCTTGCGTGGTCGCCCCTCTGTGTGCACCTGTGTCCAAATCTCCTCTTCCCATGAGGACACCAGTCATGTTGGATCAGAGTCCATCCTAATGACCCCGCTTTAACTTAATGACCTCTTTAAAGACCCTGTCTCCAGATACAGTCACATTCGGCCATACAGGGGGCTTAGGGGTTCAACATATGAATTCGGGGGGGACACAGTTCTGGCCATGAGAGGAGCCTATGGCCAAATGGTGACCACCCTCAAGACACACAATTCACAATAGAAAGGAAGATGGAGTGACCATAATTTTTTTAAAACTTCCACCTGGAAAAGGGAAGAACAAAAGCACCCGGTGCTTGTCAGTCGGTGGCATGCTCTCTGTGGGACCCGCCATGCCAGCAGGTTCCCGCTCAGCCAGCCAGCATGGTGCCGGCGTCTAGGACGGCCCCGGTGATCCCGCCGCACCCTCGTGTCATCCTCTCCCGGTGCGTGCGGGCTGCGCCGAGTGCCTTGCGTCTGGCTGGTGTAGCACAGCAAAGATGAGTAGACACAGGGTTGTGACTGCCACCTTACTAGCGGACTCTCCCCTGCTGGCTTTACTGAAGCCACCGCCGTGCCGTGAGCTGCCACACTAGAGAGACTGCGTGGCCAGGAGGCAAGAGCAGCCTCTGGCCAACAGCCGGCGACGGACGGAGGCTCTTAGTCCAACAGCCCACAAGGAATTGACTCCCGTCGACGACCACACAAGCTGGAAAGCAGGCCCCTCTGCACTTGAGCCT